GGGCCCCATCCCAATCCTACTGAATTAGAAACTCTGGGATCAGGGCCCAGCAATCTGTGTTTTAAGAAGCCCTCCAGGTGATTATGTTTTAGTCTACAGTTTGGGAACCACTGGTTACAGCATATCTTTCAGAGAGTTGTTTCATTGGTCTTGATAGATAATAGCTGAACATTGAAATGTAACTTTTGAATGTCCCAGGAAAGAGCAGCCAGAGTTGAGAACAACTGATCTATACTGGTTTCTTCAACTTCTATCCAAGAACTTTTGAGACTAGCTATTAGATTTTATGCTATTCCTGTGTTTTCCAAACTAGGAAATAAAAGAGACATGATTTCTTTTGAGATGATAGAGTCAGTATGGAACAGACATGGTACTGAAGCCATTATCTCAGCCTCCATTGATATCCATTAGGTTAGTGTCCCCCATAATGTTCAAGGCTACTTAATTCATTTTTAAGAACTTGAAGGCATGTATTCTCAATGAGAACAAAAATTGGTTGTTGGTGTGAAAACAATCCTAAGTAATACATTGCATTGTGGCCTTCTGAAGCTCAACCCCGCCCAACAAAGTCTTATTATTTATTGTTAATTTCTATCATTTGGGGGGAACTATAATGTATAAAGTTACCAATTAAATTTTTCTCCTGAGGGTGATAATACAATGCTGTAAGGATTTTACAGGTATATCATAATCTAGGATTGTTGTGTTCTGTCTGCTCTGTATAGTCAATAGTAGCTGCTTGGAGCCAGATAATGTTTGTAAGTTCCTGATTATTTTTTATGCTGTCATTTCACTCTGTGCATCATGTACAGTATCAGGAAACTGACTACCAGTTTACTTGGATTGTGCCAGGGAATTAGCATATTGAAACATGCAGTGAAAGGATATTTTGTTAAAATCTGTAAATGTTCATTTAAGTCCCAAACATACAGTGGGGATGAGTTTCTCAGGGGAGGTAAAAAATTGAAGTTTTTTCCTCAAAGTGGCTTTGTTTTGTATCTATCTATAGGTGATATATTTGGAATTGATACACTGAATGTCATTGTAATATTGACATACATCAAGCATTGAGCTAAGTGAACAATGTTATTCTCATGTATGCTTTAAATAGATTCTTGATTTTGTTTCAAAATAAAAGATATTTTCCTTATGTATGTTTATTTCATAAATGGCAAAGAATGTATCTTAAAATGTTTATAAACTGCTGTAAATGTGAAACATGAGAATCCCCAAATAAGCAGTTAACTGCATTTTCCTGGCCATTGAGGAGTGGAAACTTTTTACTCTAGTCAGAAATTCTATTTTTGTCAGTACCTACCTGAAGACCTGAAAAGGGTACCACCTAATTTGACCAGATTTTTCCATCTTGTCAAAATTGGTTAGAGTTTAAGTTTCCTTCCACTTTTCTAGCATATCCCTGCTTCTTCCTTTTTTTTTTTTTTTAAGATTATTTATTTGAGAAGTAGAATTACAGAAAGAGAGAAGGAGAGACAGAGAGAAAAGTCTTCCATCTGCTGGTTCACTCCCCAAATGGCCACAATGGGCTGATCTGAAACCAGGAGCCAGGAGCTTCTTCTGGGTCTCCCACATGGGTGCAGGGGCCCATGGACTTGGGCCATCTTCCACTGCTTTCCCAAGCCATAGCAGAGAGCTGGATTGGAAGAGGAGCAGCCAGGACACAAACTGGTGCCCATCTGAGATGCAGATGCCACAGGCAAGGGTTAGCCCACTATGCCACAGCGCCAGCCTCTCCCTGCTTCTTCTAATGAATGTTGTTTTTTTAGACTATAATTGGGTTTTTACATTTTTATTTCATTCCTTATTCTGAAATGTGACCTTGTTTCTAATTGTATATGAAGAGTAAAAATAATCATCTGAAAGTGGCACAATATTTAAAAGAATAATTCTAATAAAGTTATATGAAGAAAAATTATGTAACTGAGCAGAAGACTTAATTTTAGAATTAGCACACAGGCAAATATTCATCATCTAAGAGACTCAAAAATAAATGGGAGCTGAGATTTTCTTTGCTGGCCACTATTCATCTCAGCACAGGGAAGATCTGAATGGCACAGTGGTCAATTGTTTTGTCAGGATTTGCTATTTGGAATATTGAGATAGCAGAAACTTTCACTGTTCAATGTATTGTAATTTAAAATCAGCTTCTGAGTTTTGTTAAACAGTAAATTGAAATCATGTATTATTTGCTATCATTTACATCCAACAATTTATATAAATTATATATAAACACACCCAAGAAGATCTATGTACTTATTTTATATAACAACCCAACCTAAAATATCAAATTATATCTCTTGATATAATAACTTTGCCTATTAGAATCACATGGATAGAGGATGGCACTGTAGCGTAGCAGTTAAAGCTGTCTGCAGTGCCAGCATCCCATATGGGCGCTGGTTCGAGTCCTGGCTGCTCTGCTTCCAACCCAGCTGTCTGCTATGGCCTAAGAGAGCAGTGGAAGATGGCCCAAGTGCTTGGGCCCCTGGACCCACATGGGAGACCCCAGGGAAGCTTCTGGCTGCTAGCTTCGGATTCATGTAGCTCGAGCCATTGCGGCCATTTGGGGAGTGAACCAGCAGATGGGAGACCTTTCTCTCTGTAACTCTACCTCTCAAATAAGTAAATCTTAAAAAAAAAAAAAAACTCTTGGTTTTTAGAACCATCCTCAGAAATGACTGACTTCACCATAGCTACTACATATACATTATCTCATTTCTTCCCTACAGCAATCTTACAAGGTGTGTATAATTATTAAAATTTTAGATGAGGAAATTAAAATTCAGAGTTTAAACACTATACTTGCTCACAGTTGCACTGTTACTAACGGACAGTCTGTGTAAGCCCAACTTTGAATTGTGCTTTTTTTTTTTTTTTATAAGATTTACTTATTTGAAAGAGAGACATTCCATCCACCAGTTCACTCCCCATTGGCCACAATGGCCATGGCTTGGCCAGGCTGAAACCAGGAACACAGAGTTCTGGTCACATTTCCCACATAGATGGCAGAAGCCCAAGTACTTGAACCATCATCCACTGTGTTCCCAAGGGCATCAGTTGACTGACATATACAGTCTTCCATATTGGATCTACATTGGGACAAAATCTAAATCTAAAACCACACTTGAACAGTCGTACCATGCTAGGACATAAGAGGGATTAGAAATAAAAACATGGCTCTGTGCTAAAGTAACTTATAATTTGGCCAGCTATTAAAACACGTAATATTAAAATAACTATCTGTAATGTAATACTTACCTAGAAGAGTGAAATAAAGATCCAAGAACCACAGGAGTCCTAAAACACAGAGTCTGTCTTGGAAGCCATAATGTAAAGGTCAGCAATAATCAGGCCTACTCTTTGTGTTCAGGGTCAAGTGGTCACCTTGAGTACTTACCAAATTCCCCTTGCTGGTGTTAAAGTAACCAAAATGCAAAAGTAACGAAAACTGGTCTTTGAGTACATTTAGTGAGAAATGGGCTACCTGGACAGTAGAGAAGCTGGGTCCTACCTTAGAATGCTAAGTGCAGCAGCACAGACTGTTTGACAGTCTTGTGCTGTTCACCTGTTAGATCTTTTTCAAAGAATTTTTTTTTTTTACTTTCTTAATTACTTAGTCCTTGATGCATTCTTGGTAAAAGTCAAAATTTAATAAACTTTGTTGGAATGTAATAAAGGACTAAGTTACTAATATATATTAAAAGCAATTTCCTAATTGCTTTATTGATAAATTTTATTTATTCTTTATACTTTACTCTTCAAATTTGATAGAAATGTCTAATTCTCCAAAGTTCTTAAGACAAAGCTAAACACCCAGAAGTGGAAAAGGAAGTCCAAAGCTACTATTATGTAGGAAAAAGGGAAATTAGTGTGTCATTGTTACTCACAGGGTAATATGGCCTGAGCAAACCAAAACAATATATTTCTTTTTTTTTTTTTTTGTAAAGATTTCTTTATTTGCAAGTCAGAGTTACACAGAGAGAGGAGAGGCAGAGAGAGAGAGGTCTTCCATCTGATGGTTCACTCCCCAACTGGCCACAATAGCCGGAGCTACGCTGATGTGAAGCCAGGAGCCAGGAGCTCCCCTCCCTCCAACTCTGTTCTCCCACGTGGGTGCCGGGGCCCAAGGACTCGGGCCATTCTCCACTGCTTTCCCAGGCCACAGCAGAGAGCCGGATTGGAAGCGGAGCAGCTGGGCCTTGAACTGGCGCCCATATGGGATGCCAGTGCTTCAGGCCAGGGTGTTAACCCACTGCACCACAGCGCCAGCCCCAACACAATATTTCTTTGGTAACTAGAGGATGAGAGAACCTTTTAACAGGTTTGGAAGTCTGCATATAAAATATTTAAAATTAAGAGCCAAAAAGATTTAGCAGGTGTGTGGACTAGCAATTGACAGTGCCTCTATCCCATTTCAGAGTGCCTGGATTTCATATGGGTGCTGGCTCTGCTCCCAGCTCCAACTTCACTAATGCACACCCTAGGAGCCAGAAGGTCATGGTTCAAATGGCTGAGTCTCTGCTGCCCATGTGGGAAACCTGGCAATTCTTTTTAAAGCACATAGTTGTAGGAAAAGGAATAACTGCACTCACAGAATACATAATAATTAATTCTTCCAAAAGTCTATCTTAAGTTAATTAAGATTATAGCAAAGATGCTAAGGATGGTACATAAGAAGTTTTCTGCTGAAAACTACTTTAAGGTAGAAAATCAGTTGCCACCAAAACCTACAACAGTTGTATAAGAAATTTATGTTCATGGGTATGCACTTGTAGATGAGTTTTTCCCATTTACCATTTTTTAAGCAAAAAATTGTTGGGTTTGGTAGCTGTTTGCTTTTTTTTTTTCCTTGTCAAACTGTCAGGACAATAGGTACTATAACCAATTGATAACTTTAATGATCTTACAACCTTTTATATTAAACTATAACCATTTGATAACTTCAATGATTTTACAACCTTACAATTAAACTAGACAACACAGAACTTTCCATTTATTTTTATTTTTTGGTGAAAACAAGAAATATAGTAGTGATATGCTTCATTTTTCCTTCAAGCACATAGAAGACAAAAGTACTAGTGTGCCTTGTTTAGTTTGACAGAGTAATTGTACTACTAGTACTTAAACTGGTTAGGAACATATAAGTCAAGTACATTATTACTAGGGCAAGAAATATCAAGTAAGACAACAGTTATATTTTTCATTTTAAGACTAGTTTCACAAGACTTGGCAACAATTTGTAAAATCTTAAGACTCTTCAAAGATCACATTATTCAGGTTATATTTCTAAGAATAAAGCTATATATGAACAGAGACCAGAACAAGCTAATTACTGAATATTCACGGAAGTCTTCAGACTTCACAGGACACAAACGTATTTTTGTACATGTTCTCAATTACAAGCAAAAAGTAGGCTTGTAAACATCAAATTTGCCATTAAGCTGAAATGGAGAGAGGAATAGGATTTTACTTAAAGTGAAATAAGGAGCATTCACCATTACTCTTCCACATAAATAAAGGTCACTCCTAGAATAACAGAAGACATCAGACTTGGATTTATGTTTACAAGTATGGCAAATCTGAGTAAGGAAAAACTTGAGAAAAATCTATGAACATCCCATTTAAACTCCAGCCCCTTTGATTCCTCGCCTGTACCCTGGAAAGTGCCTCAGGAGTCTCCCCTTCCACCTCAGATCCTGCAGGGTTTGCTTTTCTGTTGGTCTTTCCAAGCCCACTCCACAATGGGATCATTTCTACTTCTGAGTTTTACTTAGTTTCCCCAACCTAATGCGTCCTTTCTGCTGCTTGTGTCCAGACCTCATAAATCCTCAAAGACTCAGGGCAAAGCCTTCAAAATGGAAGGGAAAAGGGCAAAGGTGTGTGGTCATCAGCACCACCAGATACCCTCACACCTAAGACAGCCCTAACACTGCCACTGCCCCACCTATTGGAACTTACCCTGGAAATTCTGATGGACTCCACATATCCCCTTAGCCCCACGAGGCCGACTGCAGTCTGCTCCCTCGTTTGTTAGAAGAGAAGAAGGGGAGGAAATGCAGAACTGAAACCTGAGGGACAAGGTGGCCAGGCAGTAGGCTGGAGGCCCATGGGAAAACAGAGCACTAATAAAATAGGATAAAGGACAGGGTGACCCACAAAATCCAACTGCGTGATCATTTCTACGAAGTCCAAGGCCCAAGAAAGAATTGCCAGTAAAGCTAAGTTTTGGTTGCTTTAGCTCATATCTTGTTTGAGACCTGTCCTGAACCCCACCTCCTAGCTTCTCAAACTAAAGTTCAAGAAACACACAAGTTTTGGTTGAATTGAGGGGTGGGAGGGATGACAAGGCTAGCCTAAAAGAACAATGCCCTTAAATAATTAGAGATCTCCCTTTGAAACTTGTAGATCTTCCTAATGCAATTAGAGTGGGCGGATGAGAGCAATAAGAGATCTGAAGTCTGTTTTACAGTATTTGGACAAAACCAAGAGAGCAAATTAAACAAAAAGACTGCTCTGCCAGTTTTATTTTCTGTTTCTGAGCTGTAATCGCTTCAGAAAGAGAAAGGGAAGGAGGAGTGTTAGGTTTGAGAAACTCCACATTCCAGAAACAACCACCTATTCAGTTCCCCCACTCTGGCAACTTTGTTATGTTCAGAATGAGTGTGGGAGGGTGATGAGGGGTGGTGCCTAACAAAGTTGCCCAGATTAAGGATGGTTTGTTGGTTAGGGCTTGGTAAAGCTAACTGTTGGAAGACATTTGTCTCGGCATTGGTTTGGGCACTGTCACTTAAGCCAGGCCAAACTGCCTAACAGCCAATTAGGGTACAGGTGTGGGTTTCCTGCATGCTGCCTGGGAACCAAGTCTACAGATGGTTCTTGAGGAGGCAGACAATGGTGACCTGTGCTAAACTCAACCAGGTGAGAGCAAGTAGGGGTGAGCTACAGCACAGGCCTTCATACTCACCAGCAGCTGGTCACAAAGCAGAGTAACCAAAGGGAAAGAAAGGGCACCATGTGATAACACAGAACACCTCTCATCTGTTACTTCATTCATTCCTAGCAGTCACCCACCAGCCACCTGCTTGTTCTACCAAGTAACTAGCAGCGTAGATGGCATAGGGCCTGGAAGGCAGCTGGAATTCAGTCAGTGGTAGCCTGGAATGTCCAGTTTGGGCTGATGGCTGCATTGGGATATCAAGTTTCATCTTGCAGTGGTGAAAATCAGGACATGCCTAAAGTACATGAGTATCAGGAGCACAGCAGCATTAAGTATGAAGTCCAGCTAGTTATTTGTAAAGATGTGTCAAGCTTCCTTGTGGGAGAAAACCACTTACAAAACCAGAAGATGACCATGGTCCCAGACAGGGCCCAAGCCATGCAAAGAAAGTCTGTATCTACAGCATCAGGAGCTTGGCATAGAAGCATTAGAAGGCCATGCACTTGGAACAGCAACAGGATGCAGAACAGCGTGAAGGCCTAGAGGGAGAACACAGGCAGATAAGCAACAATCTGCTGAAGATTCAGAAGATCCAAAGGACAAGGTGATCCAGTATGAAGAGAAAGCAGACAGAAGACTGCATGCTATTGGTGAAGCGTAGGTCCAAGAGGGAGTGGCAGGAGCTTCTCAGGAGAGTAGAGATTAGCCAGACTGGAACCTGAAGGACCGGGGGCTTTCCACTGGCTGCCTTGGTGGGCCGCGAATTCCTCGGCGGGACCCATCACCCATCAGGTAGTACTGTAGGGGATTGGACCACAGTTCCCCTTTGATAATCTCAGCAATCCTGTCGAACTCTAGGAGGCTGTGATCCGAGAACCAGTTAAAGAAACTGGGGATAGTGTTCCCTTCCCGGTTCCTGTGAATTTGAGCCTGGGGGTCTTGGCCTCGGTGCCAGCGGATTGGAGTGGAGAGAGACACCACCCGGCCAGAGGATCTGCGCTCATATTCCTTGACAAGCCCCTCGTTTCGGAAGTAGGGGTTGCTCTGAAAGATGAACTTGAATTTGCAGCCTGCTCTGGGATGTTTAAGCTCCTCCACTTCCAAATTAATCATGTACCTCATCATGTCTTCATCTTGGCCGCTGATCATAGGTGACAGCTGGGGGTGGTTCCGAAAGGCAGTGACCCAGAAACCTGGGATATTTTGGATAATGAAGCTCCTGCGCTGCATATGAAGCCTTCGCATCCGGCCAAACTTACGCTCCAACTGAAGAAAGGCCCTGTCTGCCTGGGCATTTACGTTAGACAGCTCCTGATCGATGGCCTCCAGCGAGTCCATGCAATTATTGATCTTTGGCGCCCTGGGACGAGCCTCCTCTTTCGCCCCTCCTACCACCTTCTTTTCCTTCGGTGCCGCCTTCTTTTCCTCCATCCCCACCTCAGCTTCTCCCTCCTTTCCCTCTGCCACAGCGATGGCGCACTTTTTAGTCATTTCCTTGGCCTTCGCCCCGGGCAGCATCTGAGACCCCAACCCCCCTGCGCCACCGGCTTCTAGAGCCTTCTGCCCAGCAGAGCTGCGCGGCTCTTCACGCTGACAGCCATTTTTCTGGCTGTTGTCTGCTGCCACGGAGGCAGAGCCGGCTTCCAAGCCCTTCGTGGGAGACACAGCATCTTCCTGTCCTGCTTTGCTCACCGCACCGCCGCTATTCGCAGCAACGCGCAGGCAGAGCGCGGGACCGCAGTCCACGGGATCCCGGGGTGCACCTCCCTCCGCAGCGCTTTCCACACCGACCCCACCTGTGTCCGCCATTGCCTGTGTCTCTTCTGTTCCCGCACAGAATCCCTCGCACTGGTTTAGGTCCGCACCTCCTGGAGTATGGTCGGGAGCAGCGAGGGCCGGGGCTTCAGAAAGAGGGAGCTTATTGTCCCCCTGGAGGTTGCTCATCTTGGGAGAAGGCAGACCTGCGGCGGATGCGCGCTCCTGGTCCTCTGCAGCCGCAGCGCTCGCCGGAGTCTACACCTAGCCCCACCCCTTTTCGTCTTCTCGGCGCGTGCTGCCATGGCAACCGGGAACGTCAGGGCGGGGGCGTGTTACCTTCGCGCGAGAGCTCCAACTCGCTGCGCCTGTGATTATGCTTGTCCATCAAGCGTATCCCTTTGTCCTTTTTGTTACAAAATGTTCGGAATTCATTCGTCTAGAAAATAAGTTTGGCTTACATAAATGCATGTAGCCCACAAGCAGCTGAGAACTGTGTTAAGGTGGGTTTTTTTACGCCTCTGAATGAATTTCTAAGGCACCAAAGCTATTGTCTCAAAATATTTAATAAAATAAAAAAATAAGGTTAGCTATTGTCTATTCAAATCAGTTCGTAGTGCTGCTCATGACTAGGAAAGCGGATTCACCAACTGACAGGCCTGCCTTCTTCAAGGTACAGAATGATGGCTGTTACCAGTGCATTGAGATGAGCAGAGTTTGATTTCTAAAGTGAAATGTTGCTGTATTAAATGTTATAACTTTAACACTAGGAGCAGGTGAAAAGGAAACTTTTATCAACCTAACAGGGCAATAATGGATTATGTGAATTTCTTTACAGATTTTAAAGCTTATATATTTTGGCTAGTGCTCACATAGCAATTGACTATTATTTCCTCTTTATTTTTTTTTTTAAATAAAAGATTTATTTTTATTCATTTGAAAGGCAGAGTTACAGAGAGAGACGGGACTGGGGACTGGGGGAATCTTCCATCCATTGGTTCATTCTCCAAATGGCTACAATGGCCAGGCTGGGTCATCTGGAAACCAGGAGCCAGGAGCTTCTTCCAGGTCTCTGACCTGAGTGTATGGGCCGAAGCACTTGGTTCATCCTCTGCTGCTCTCCCAGGCTCATGGGAAGTGGAGCAACTGGACTTGAACCGGTGTCCCTGTGGGATGCCAGTACTGCAGGTAGCTGCTTAACTTGATAAGCCAAAAACCAGCCCCATCCTCTTCACTTTTTAATGGATGAGTATGGAGGCAACGACATGTGTGCAAAACGTTAGCCTTTACGCCGGATTCTGTCCCAGTTGCTCCTCTTCCAGTCCAGTTCTCTTTTGTGGTCCGGGAAGGCAGTGGAGGATGGCCCAAGTGCTTGGGCCCCTGCACCCGCATGGGAGACCAGGAGGAAGCACCTGGCTCCTGGCTTCGGATCAGCGCAGCGTACTGACTGTAGTGGCCATTTGGAGGGTGAACCAACAGAAAGGAAGACCTTTCTCTCTGTCTCTCTCTCTCACTGTCTAACTATGCCTGTCAAAAAAAAAAAAAAAAAAACCTACTTTTAGCCTTTAAGCATTTCTTGAAAGAAATATAACCACAAGGGATTTTAATTTTTAAAATGATGTGTATTACATATTGCTTTTCTTCGGGTTATAATCTTAATCTAGTTTCTGCTTCATAATCCCTCTGGACATGAAACCAGCAAATATTTGCTAAAATTTACTCCTGGCCTATTTCACGACAGGACAGCAGCAACATTCAGCCACTTGCTGGTATCTAAACTATTGTCTCTTAAAATATTTACTTAAAAAGTCTGAAAGACTAATTATTCATCAGCTCATGGAATTCATTTGATAATGATATCATTACTCTTAGTTTGTTGAATGTGAGAATTACTGGTGTTTACCCTTAGAAAAATGGGAAACAAATTTTGCATATCTAACATCGTAAATTTGAGTTAGAATAAACTCTAAAGCACACCAGATTATGTTCACTTTCAAGTAAGAGCTCAGAAGTATGGATTTAAAGGAAATTTTTTTTTAAAGCAGCATGTATACTGAGTAAGGGAATGCTCTTGGAAGAACACTGCTTACAGCTTTATTTTGTACCCCTGGTCAGCCTACTCAAGCACCTATTTCAGACTGACCTGTTAATTGCCTGCCAGTAAATCAGTTATCCCAGATAAAACGTGCAAACAACATTCACTTAACAGATAGCAATTATTTTTCTGTCCTCTTTTTCACTTTTCATTTATTTATTTATTTATTTATTTTTTGACAGGCAGAGTGGACAGTGAGAGAGAGACAGAGAGAAAGGTCTTCCTTTGCCGTTGGTTCACCCTCCAATGGCCGCCGCGGCCAGCACACTGCGGCCGGCGCACCGCGCTGATCCAATGGCAGGAGCCAGGTACTTCTCCTGGTTTCCCATGCAGGTGCAGGGCCCAAGGACTTGGGCCATCCTCCACTGCACTCCTGGGCCACAGCAGAGAGCTGGCCTGGAAGAGGGGCAACCAGGACAGAATCCGGCGCCCCGACTGGGACTAGAACCCGATGTGCCGGCGCCGCAAGGCTGAGGATTAGCCTAGTGAGCCACAGCACCGGCCCTCACCTTTCTTTTAATGATTCCTATTTTCAACCTTGTGGGGTGAAATCAGTCTATTGATTTGTCTTTTTTTGTAAACAAGTAAACTGTTCTATAATTGATTTATTCTTTGACTGCTCTGCTTTGTTCCCTTTTCTAAAGAATTTTTGTACTGTTTAAAGAATCACTCTTGTATGGAGGGAAGTATCACTATGTTCCTAAATCTATATATATATATATATGAAATACATGAAACTTGTATAACAAATAAAATTTAAGAAAAAAGTCACTGTTCTGGGTTTTAACCTGAGATAAAATACAGAGAAGACAGAAATGCTGATTCAGTTACTTTGTGGGGCTGGTACTGTGCAGATAAAGGTGCCACCTGCAGTGCCAGCATCCTATATGGGCACCCATTTGAGTCATGGCTGCTTCACTTCTGATCTAGCTCTCTGCAATGGCCTGGGAAAGCAGTGGAAGATGGCCCAACTCCTTGGGCTCCTGCACCCACATGGGAGACCCAGAGAAAGCTCCTGGCTCCTGGCTTCAGATTGGTGCAGCTTCAGCTGTTGCAGCCATCTGGGGAGTGAACCAATGGATGGAAGACCTCTTTCTCTCTCTTTGCCTCTACCTCTCTGTAACTCATCTTTCAAATAAATAAATATTTTTTTTAAAAAAAGGTTACTTTGCAGAGGGGAAGAGGTTACTTTTACAGACTTTTTTTAGAAAATTATAAAATTACACATGAAATTTTTTTATGTATACCAAAAATTTTTAAAGGTTTATACCTTTACCACTCAAAACATCCTTGTCTGTAGCTTTGATTATTCCTGTTACCTGAATCATTTTATACTCCTAACAACCTGCCTATTCTTTTTTTTTTTTTTAAGATTTATTTTATTTATTTGAAAGAGTTACAGAGAGGGAGAGACAGAGAGAAAGGTCTTCCACCCACTGGTTCACTCCCCAGATTGCCGCAATGGCCGGAGCTGCGCCAATCTGAAACCAGGAGCCAGGCTCTTCTTCCAGGTCTCCTAGGCAGGCACAGGGGCCCAAAGACTTGGGCCATCTTCTACTGCTTTCCCAGGCCATAGCAGAGAGCTGGATTGGAAGAGGAGCAGCCAGGACTAGAACTGGCACCCATATGGGATGCCGGTGCTTCAGGCCAGCGCTTTAACCCACTGTGCCACAGTGCCGACCCCCTGCCTATTTTTTTAAAACTCAGATCATGTAGCTTGTAGTAGGCATTTTAAAGGCATTAAATTTTATAAACAAGGACTCAGGGAGCACTAAGAAGTTAAATTGGTGATGGTCATACATATAAATATGACAACTGACAAATTGCTTTCATCTCCTGTACTTCCTTAGTCACCTTACCATTTTGATAGTCCTCTGAATTTCTGTAGTACTTGTGACCTCTTCCATTTACTTTAGAACTTATGTATCCTTTACTTTTTAACTTTCTTGGTTGCTTCATGTAAGTCAGTCTCCATAGAAAATGATGATGTATAGCAGATCTTCTTTAGCATCTATCAGGAAGTTTTAAGAAAAATTCATGGGGCCCGCGCTGTGGTACAGTAGGTTAATCCTCCACCTGCATGCCAGCATCCCATATGGACACCAGTTCAAGTCCCAGCTGCTCCACTTTTACATCACCAATGTAAAGCTAAATCTCCTTTATATTCCTGTCTCCATCTTAGTTGTTTCAGGCTGCCATAACAAAGCACTATAGGGCTGGTGCCGTGGCTCAATAGGCTAATCCTCTGCCTAGCAGCACCGGCACTCCGGGTTCTAGTCCCAGTTGGAGCGCCGAATTCTGTCCCGGTTGCCCCCCTTCCAGGCCAACTCTCTGCTGTGGCCAGGGAGTACAGTGGAGGATGGCCCAAGTCCTTGGGCCCTGCACCCGCATGGGAGACCAGGAGAAGTACCTGGCTCCTGCCTTCGGATCAGCGCGGTGCGCCTGCCGCAGCACGCTGCCCGCAGCGGCCATTGGAGGGTGAACCAACGGCAAAAGGAAGACCTTTCTCTCTGTCTCTCTCACTGTCCACTCTGCCTGTCAAAAAAAAAAAAAAAAAAGGGCACTATAGGCTAGGTGGTTTTTCTTTTTTCAGATTTGTTTATTTGAAAGGAAGAGTTACAGAGGGGCAGAGGTAAAGGCAGAGAGAGGGAAGTTTTCTATCTGCTGGTTCTTTCCCTAAATGGCTGCAATGGCTGGAGCTGTGCCAGTCTGAAGCCAGGAGCCAGGAACTCCCTCCAGGTCTCCCACATAGGGTGCAGGTGCCCAAGGACTTGGGCCATACTCTACTGCTTTCAAAGGCCATAGCAGAAAGCTGGATCAGAAGTGGAGCAGCCGGGACTCGAACTGGCATCCATAGGGGATACCAGCACTGCAGGCAGTGACTTTACCCACTACGCCACAGTGCCAGGCTCCCTGGGTGGTTTCTAAACAACAGAAATTTATTTCTCACAGTTGTGGATGCTGAAAAGTCGAGGATTTGGTGTCTGGTGATGAACTGCTTCCTGGTTCATAGATGCAGTCTTTTTGCTGCATCCCAAGATGGAACAAGAGGAGAGGCATCTCTTTCAGTCCTCTTTTTCATTAGTACTGATCACCCACCAAAGGCCTCACTTCCAAATACACTCAAACTGGGGATTAAGTTTCAACATGGTAATTTGGTGGAGAACCAAAATATTCATTCCCTTGTGCCTTCATTCACAAACTGTTGAAGTGCCTAGTTCCTAAAGACAGAAACAAGAATCAAGATCCTCTGGCTGAGGCTGGCACCATGGTATATTGGGTAAGGTCACCACCTGCAGTTCGAGCTCCTATATGGGTGCTCCACTTCCAATCCAGCTCTCTGCTATGGCCTGGGAAAGCAGTAGAAGATGGCCCAAGTCCTTGGGCCCCTGCATCCACACAGGAGAACCAGAAGAAGCTCCTGTCTCCTGGCT